TAAGATTAATTTATTCACTTTTTAATAAGTTATATTTTCCTTTATTCCTTTAAAATAAACTTCATATAAAACTGCGCTCTCAAAATATGCAGTTTAATAAATTTATACTAAATAACTGCTTTAGATCAATAAGGAATTTCTTTTGTATTATTGTTAAATAATATCTCTGGCGATAAGTTTTTAAAGTAACTATAACTGAGAAGAAATAATGTAAGTAAAAATGATGAATATGAGTTTGTGGGTGAAGTTTTAAATGTATCCGAGCTAAATTATTTGAATAAGTTAAGTGATATAATCGGAAACTAGATCTGTCTTAATATGATTTAAAATTTTGTGATAATTAAATCGAATAATTTTCAATTTTGATGTTTCAATTTGTTTGTGACAAATAACCCCGGTGTTTATTTTTTAAGATCGAATCATAATTCCAGTTCGGAGTTATTTATACAATAATAATTGTAGTTAGCAAAAGTAATAATTAAAATGAAGTGAGTTTTTAGTGAAGGTTAATTTAGTTCATTCAAATTGCGAAATTCAAATATTTAAGTCTAAATCAAATTTACATAGTAAGCAACCATATTTGCTTAAACAATGGATTAAATGTTAACATAGTTTTTTAAAGTGGTAGAATTTAATTAGTTTCAAAACGGTGTAACAATCTTTAAAAAAAATTAATTAAAATTAAAAAAAGATTGTGAAAAATATTTGTATTTGAATTGTAATTGAAAGAAGAAAATTAAATACGTAATAAAAAAATAAAATCTTGAACTCAAGGTTTTACTTTAACATAAAAAGTTTTAAAAATTAGCAAATCAATTTTAAAAAAATTAACAAACTTTATTTGATCTATAGAGAAAATATAAATTTATTTTTAATGTAGTTACTTTATATGAATTACTTTCATATGACTACATAGTAAAATTTTATAAATTTAAATACTCTGGTTATTATTAGTTCTCTAAATAATCAAATCAAAATAATAAACAATTCAAGATATAATTAGAAAAAGTGCATGTTAAATAAAATGATAAAACTATTTTGAAAATAAATAAAGTCGTTTTAGAGTTAAAAAAAATATTTTTTAAGTTTTTCTTAGAAAGAGAAAAAGCATAATATAAGATGAAGAGTGAGTTTCTTCTGATATCTTTTGAAAGCTAGTTGACCCCCGCAGGTTGCAATTCCCCTTCTGTGACAGTGATTAGCTTCGGGTTACTTAACACACGCACCCCCACAAAAAATGTAGGGGAGACAGTGAAACGGGTTTTGGAGGTGCAATATATTTCGTCCCTTTTCGAACCTATCCTTACTGAAGGTTGGAATTGAAATGAAAAGGCCTCCTTAGGTATTCTTTGGCCAAGCTAAAACCAATTCTTGGCCATAAATGACGCCACTGAAAAACAAAAAAAGCAAGTGTTTTCGAAAGGGCAAAGAACTTTAGTGTGACAATATCAAGTGTTGTATAGTGCACTGAGGAAAAAATGGACCACCCTGAATTACTTTTGATTTAAGATCCAATCTTATGTTATTGAACTCAATCTTAAGGTTTAGAGGAAGTGACCTCAAATATGCTAATTAACTTATGCAGACGATATTTTAAGTTACGAAATACAAAAACGTACTTTCTCTACATACTCTCTAAATATTTCTATTTTTTTCGACGGTTTTGTATTTCTGACCCCCAAATTATAGGAGATCGCAGCAATCTGGGAAATGGGGTCTCTGTCGGGAGAGCTGTCCAAAGTTCGGACCCGTTGATGCTAATTTTATTTTTTGTGTATTTCACTAATTGAACAATTTTTGCACACGATTATGAAATTCGTTTATCCAATGATAATTCTATGCACAAAAAAAAAGCTTTTAGTAAATGTTTATTATTCTTTATTTTTTTTACTTAATAATAGTTGAAATAACTTTGAATCGTGAGGTGTAAAATTTTTTACATAATTTTAAAGAATGTAATTTTACTAGGCAAAAAGCAAAATTTGAGCGAAATCTTTCGAATTTTAAAAAGTCATATATTTAAAATTCATATGTTATTGATTCCTCCTTTGCTTATATATTTTTTTCATTGTAATTTATCAATAATTTATACTCACTTTTACTAATCGTGCTAATATCATTATTAAAATTTTTTTATCTATCCATCTTTCAGGCAGATTACGAAGAGCAAAAACGAATGTTGAAAAAATTTTATGAAGAAAAATTGAATTTTGAATGTGAAAATATCGAAGATGAGTGCATAAAAGAAACATACCGTTCAGAAATAGAAGATCTGAAAGTAAGTGATCTTGAGGTAGGATTAAGTACTAATTCAATTGTAAATAGCCCTTTTTTAATGCGTTATTTTATATCTCCTTAATTTCTCATTTCAACTATAGAGAATCAAATGTATCAATTAAATAGGGTAATTCGAATTGTTCTAATCAATTTATATAAGAATAATATCTAATGTTGTTGCTAATTAGATAATCATGGAATTTTTATTTATTTATGTGAAGAAAAAATTTTATTAAAAAATGCTTTTTTTTCTATAATGTTTTATTGTTTCGTAGTTTTTATTTTTCATGACAAAGTTTTTTAAACGTATACTAGGACATGTTTAAGCAAGGTCTGATAGCTATAGAAAATTCACATAACCGCATTACCTCAGAAATGCAGAAGAGGCATAATGAAGAACTAGCTTTACTTGAAGCAGAGAAAGAAAAGGCCTTAGAAATAGAAGCACAAGCCACATTAACAGGTAAATTATTGCAAAACTGTGTTAAATCTCTATGTCAAATTAAATACCATGTTTTATAATAATGTTTTGTTAAAATATTCATAAAAGAAATTCATTTTGCTTACCTAAAATGATTTTGATTTTTACCACCTTTATTGTGGGGGATTTTCAAAATTTTACCCACTCTAAAGAATTAGCCATAAACTTTTGCACTTATGAATAACCGAAATTAAAACTTCTGCGTTTATAACTTTAAATAAACTCGCTGAGAATTAAATGATAGCCTAACGCACAAGAGAAAATAACTCCTCTGTGGAGTCCTTTTCTTGACCCCATGCTAACCTATACTGTTTCCCATATTTATGACAACAAAGTCCTTTATTTATTTATTGCATATTTAAAAGTGTTCAACAAATGGTTACATAATTATTGATTGGAAAATAACTTCCCATAGACATTTTAAAATTAATGAAGTGATGAGAAGTATACTTTCTACGGCCTTATAAAGGGTTAAAAGAACCTGATGAAATGGAAAAAGTTATGGCATAAAAATTATGTCTTAAATTTAAATTATTGTTAAATATATAAAGTACTATTGTTGTTGTAGTTGGGGGAAAAGTGTAAAGGTATATATCTATCTCAGATGGTTGAACCTTTACCTTTAGAACAAAATTTTGATCAAAATTTCGATTGCAAGATTCGAACCATGCACATACCCAGATGTGAGTCACAATAACTCAAATTTAGAAAGCAAAATCATTTATTATATTTTTGTATAGTATCTTTAATGATTGTAAAAACTCATTAACTCATTAAATTTTATTATTTTATAGCTTTAGAAGCCATTAAAAAGTCTCACGCCCAACAATTATCAGAGGAGACTGCATTAATCAGAGAAGAACTTGTCTGTAGATTTCAAAAGGAAGAAAATGAAAATGTTTACAGTAAATACTCGTAAGTTATGACTTCAAAATTTTTTTTTTTAAAAGCAATAGAAGTAAGATAGTTTGTGTTTTTTGTGCTTGCAAAAGAAGGAAAAAAAAAACAGCTTCATTTAAACACAGTTTTGAGTAGTGTTATTATTCAACCACGATGATGGATAATGGTAAAGCTTAGTTGAAAAGTTAGAGCACGCGAAATATGAGGGTATTTCTTTTGACAAATATACGAAACTGTCATATCATTCTGATTGTTTGGCTCACTTCACTATGATAGAAAGCTTTTTAAATAAGATGCGTTTTTTTTAAACGGTCAGGAATAGCCTGGTTGGTTGGACGTTGAGCCCATGTCCAAGGGTTCGTGAGTTCAAGCCCCGTGTAGTAGATGGTGGCTGGTGCACGTTAAATATGTCTGGGTCACAAAGTCCTCCAATATCGCTTTACAAACCATACCTCTGGGATTACTGAATTGCAGATCGGCCAGTCTCTGGTTCAGGTCAAAATTACGATATGGGGATGAATAAATGGATGTATGAATGGATCCACCCTATAAACGGATTGGGGCGTATGTGCGGCTGAAGTCGTATTCTTGGCCATAGATGGCGTTACTGAAAAACAAGAGCACGCCCTCTGCCTTAAATTCGTTTGGTTTCTCTTAGTAAGCTTGCTAGTGATTTGACAAATGGCAACAGTTACAAAACAAAATTTGCTTCAAATGATTTTTTTTATAGCTTACGAATTGACTACCGAACTATTACATTTCTGCACATAAATATAAAACTGTGTAGTCGGTAATCTATTTTTTAAAATTTATTTCGAATCTTTCTATAGCTCTTTAAATAGAAATAAAATAAAAAGTGTGACATTATTATTTTTTAATTGCAAAATCTGTTTCTTATCAAAATGGATAATTTGATTTGGCAAATATTTTAAACTTTTAGTAATTTATAACAAATTTTACACTCAATTTGCAATATTAATAAATTTGTACTCAAATTTGTAATATTTATAACTCAAATTATCAGCGTTTTCACTTCTTTTTCAGAGATGAACTGGAAAAACTGAAAACTGAAATATTGAAAATAACTGAGTTGTATTCATCAAAATGTCTTGAAAACGTTGCACTGGAAGAAAAAGTTAATTCCCTGCGGCAGCAGCTTAAAGAGGCACATAATGAGGTATTCAATTTTCTAAAAAAAATTTGCGTATTTAGGTATTGAAAAGTAAGAAGAAAAAAACGTTTAAGACAACCATTACCTAAAAATTAATTTTACTTTCATTGTATTTTGTTTTTAATTTTTTTTAAAATTATCTTTCTTATTTGAGTACTAAAAGTCATTTCCACAAACAGCGGATAAAATATTCATTATTTTACACTTTTAATTTGTGGATTTTTACAAGGATTGTTAAAGTAAATACAAAGCGGTTAGTACAGAAGACCCTGTATTCGTCAGTAATTTGTAAAATCTGCATCTTTCTAAAGCTAGCACTCTAGATTTAGTACAGAGTGCCCTAAAAGTTCTTAAGCTGACAATTTGCGAATATGGTATAAATTTTAAAATGATAATTTTTTTGTTAATGGGAAAAATTGCTTGAATCATAAGAAAAAAAATGGATTTAAAATCTTTGACCTTTTCTTGAAGGCAAATCTGAATTCGTTTAATTTTTAATGCAACTGCTGTTTTATGTCTAATTAAAATTAAAGAAAAAGTTTAAAATGTCATCTGTTTTTTTTATGGAGTTGTTTTATAACCGGCGTGAAACAGGCGAGCCAATTCTGAGTTTATGACTATCAATGCTCAAGTCTCCGTAGCCTTATATTTTTGAACACAATCCAGTAGACAAGGAAACTTCTTTATCAAGTATTGGGGCAAATTAGCCTTCCTGGAGGACTTTTTGAAAGAACTAATCCGCATTTGCGTTACGTGGAAAGTAAAACCATGGTTAGCCTGACGGTAAGGAGATTCGTTGCAAGAATCCCATCATCCGTCTACGACTGAGGTTTTCTTTCGTCAGAACTGTGGTCGTTGCAAACCGGGAGTAGAATTTGTATCAACCAGTCACCGCTGGGATTTGAACATTGGTCACCTCATTGGGAGGCGAACGTCTATCCGCTGAGCCACGGTTGCTCATTTTATGGAGTTTTATTTCATTTTGTAACCGTCGTTGAACATTTGACCCAATTTATTTGTCAACAGTTTACAACTGCCAATGTTCAACTCCATAGTATTGTAATTTTGAACCCTATTCAAAAATCAAGGGAACTCCTGTATCAAGTATTGGATGAAATTTGCCTACGTGGAGGTCTTTTTGGTGGAACTAATCCGCATTTGCGTCCCTGGGAGAGGAAAACCTCCCACGATTAGCCGACAACAAGAGACTCTAAACCCATGATATCCGTCTACCACTGAGGATATTTTACGTCAACAATGTGGTCGGTGCGTGCCGGGTACGGAAATTGTATCGGCCGGCCATTTTTTTAAAATTCGAACCCGAGTAATTTTATTGGGAGGTGAGCTCTATCACGTGATCCCCCATTACTCTTGTATTAAATTTGTGAATTGTATTATTACTTAATGAAAATTGTATTTTATTTGCAGCTTTGTAGTCTAATCTCTAAAAACAGAGAAATCAACATAAGCCTTTGCGAAGAAGTAGAGGCTTAAACTATTTCCAAAGCCTAGTTTATGTTAGTTCGTTTTCATTTAAAAGTAAGAAACCTACATTTTTTATTCAATCTTATTTTATGATGAAAATTTTTTAAATTCAAAATACATTTGTAAATTTTCTTTTATGTATCTATTGGAAAAGTTGTATCTAGAGAAAAGTTGTAGTAACTAACATTTGAAAAGTTATTGAGGATGATCATTTGATATCCTAAATCCTATATCCTAGATCCTTAGAATGATATCCAAGATATTTCTCATGATAAAATTATATCATTGTCCTTGTATTTTTTTTCTGCTAAAAACGCACTTAGTAGTAGGATACGACTGTATATTGATTTGGTACTTTTGGGGAAATTATAAAAGTACTAATTTCAACGATTTATAAATTTCTTCCTTTTCTTACGTTAAACGATTGGGCAATTAGGGTTTTTCTACAAAAGTAACTAAAGGTAAAATTACTAAAGATTTTAATGCCTTCTACTTTTGTAAAACAAACTACTTAGAAACTTGGCTAAATTTTTATTGTTTTGGGGCAATAAATCTCAAAACGAAATGCTTACTAAGCATTACATTTCAATATGAAGAGCATATATTTAAAAGAAACATGCATTTTCTATGTTCAACATACAAATTACATGAAATAAAAACCATTTGCACATTAGGTTTCACAAATTCCTACAGTAAGGAGAAAACTAAAACGTTGTCAAAACTTAAGGAGGGAGATACATTAAACTCCTTAAAAACAGTTTGTAATAAAATAAACTTCAAGATGTTTCTCATAATCTCTTCTACATTATCTCAACTTCATATGACAATAAAACATATTTAAATGTTTGTCTTTAATTTGGCCTTCCTTGTATTTTATTCTTCAATATTTGATTGTAAGTATTGATTTATATTATTGACTCCTAAGTATTGATTTATGAACCCAATTTGTATTTTCTCTACATTTTAGGCTGAAAATTCTAAAATTTTATATTTTCAATGGTAATTGCGAAACACCCAGCATAATTTAAAGCTTATTCTTGAAAATCGTGCGTGCTATTATTTTTATTAAAAATGTCAATTAGAACAGCATATGCAAACTCTATAAATGTTTTTACGTTTTGTAAATTGAGGCGTCACAGGGTTAATGGATTTCCTCACTCTCCACACTTTCCCCTCTTTAGTACCTTGATTTAGGCTTATCTCGCTATTTACTCTACGCCAATATTACCCTTCTTCTTGCAAAAATGTAGTGATGTGGTGGAAAAACACGATTTGTCAAAGCCATGGTAAAGGAGAGGTGAAATGTGTGGAAAGTGACAAAATCACTTTACCGTTAGATGCCTATACAATTTTACGAAGTGTTATAATTCACGGAATTTATGACTTTTTAGCTCCAAAAATTTCCATGTAAAAATGCTCATTTATGATTAGATTTGACTTAGGTATTTAAAAGTGCTAAAGCATTCTAGGTTTCTGTAGTTATAGGCATAGTTGTTAAAAAAAAAATTATAAAGCATCGTATAGAAATGTTAACCGTCATTTTGACTTCGCGATCAACGAGAATGAGGAGAATAAATGGTATTGGAAGTCATTTTACTGCGTGTGTAAGAAATACCACTAACTTCCAAGTTAGATTAGTATTTTTTAATTGTTTCTAATTTATTTACTGTTAGAATTAAGTTTAAATATAATTAAGTAATTGATATTATATCACCACAATACGATCCTCAACACATGCCATGTACAAATTAATTCTCAAAATCTAAGCTTTTTTTATAACTTTATTTCCTACATGCTTGATCACTTTTTTTCTTTGCAGAATTTTTGCTACTGTTTGCTAAGGAGCACCTGTGTCATAATCTGCAAATGTATAGCTTTATCATTCGTTCGTATTCCAGAACTCAAGAGTTTATTGTACAAAATTTGTTTTATACGAAAATTAAACATTTAATATATTTCCCTGTTTCTTCTCATTTTATATATTTTTTTAATATAACTTACTATCATGCACACAAAAAAGAAGTTAACCTATTTTTTCTATGTCTTTTTTTTACATTACCTTTATTAATTTATTTTTAGCGTAATGATTTGAAACTAAAAGCATATTTCAAATTGCATCATATTTGTATGTCATAAAAGTTATTTTATTTCTTTTTATTCAATATATACAAGCATGAGTGCTCAATACAAGAAAAGGTTACAGAATCACAAACTGAACAATAAAACAAATAGAGGCCATAAAACAATAATAGGCTTTTTAAGCCAATAATATACAACTTACAAATTGTTACATGAAGAATAATATAAATATGTATTGTGAGTTGCAACATTAATCAAAATATCTACCTTTATTCCTTTGAAAGTTAGAGCTGGGATAACCTGGCTGATAAGGTGTTGGGCCCCTCTTCAGATGTACAGCATTAATTAAACCATCTACCTCAACTGTCAGAGCTTGTAACGAAATGATAATACTCTACTGCAGCATTTTATAGCATGGAACTAGTACGTTCAAATTCCGTCGTATCCCTGGATGTATCTTTAAGTTGTCCTTCTCTAATTTGTGCCATTTCTTATTCAACTTGACAAAAGCTTATAAGCCGTCTTTGTAACGAACAGTAGAAAACCGAAGTCAAGCATCACTGGCTGCGGTCAATAAGCGGGTGGGTGACCACTTTGATCAGCGTAAGCAAAGAGCGAGGGTGCGCAGTATCGACCCTTGTGAAACTGTTCTACCGTGAAGTGCTCGACTTCGCGTGCATGTCATTGGGTTACCAAAGCAAGGAGCAATCCCCTCTGCAGAGGATCGAAATTGCGATGACATGTTTTCGGATCATTCTCAGGAATGTTTTCCACACCTTCGCCAGTAGCCCATTCTTCAGCCCTAGTGCGACGTAAATAAAGTGCCTCAAATATCATTCTACAAAGCTGGTGTAGATTATTTTATTTTATGACCAGCCGACCGAATTTTAAGTTTACGACTAACAATGTTCAACACGGTAGTCTTGTAGTTTTCTTAAAAAAAAGTCCAGAAGACAAGGGCACTCCTGGATCAAGCACTAAGACAAACTAGCCTTTATTGAGGACTTTTTTTAACGAAACCAACACGCATTTGCGTTACATGAAGAGGAAAACCTCCCATGGATAACGCAACGGCAAAGAAATTCTAACCCATGATCCGCCTACCACTGAGGATATTTTGCATCAGCTCTGGTCGGTGCTGCTAAGGGTAAGGTGGGATTCCACAATTATTGATTCGTCTCTTTCATCTGGTTTCAAAAAAGTCCATTCAACAACACAGTAATTGCATCATAAAAGTTTTAAAAAGATGAATTGAGGAATCATCCACTAAATTTCTTTTCTAAAAAAATGTTATGCAGAACGTTCACTGCGTCATCATTTTAAAATTATTGAAATCCTGCCTAAAAATTATTTGATTGAGGAAGTCTTGAACTCTGATACAAATTTTAAATTAAATATTAGTAGGAGGGAATGTTAGCAAAATTAACGCTATTATTTTTGAATGTACTTTAAACTTTTTCTGTATATTGACCTCAATCTATTATGAGTTGTTCAGTGCTCCATTTGGTGTATTGAAAACTATTCAAATATTTATATACTGTTCCGAAAAACGTCCCTTGACAGCAGTCACAATTTTTTCATGTTTGAATTCAAACAATTATATACATAACTGAAGGTCTCTGTTACTACTTATTTAACTCATAATTGCAATATATGTTACAATACCACTTACAGTTGTTAACACGAAGTGTCCAACTGGGAATAATCCCTATCCTGCCACCATCACCTGTTTTGGAAAATTTTTATTGGCAACTATCAGCACCACACACAGTACTTCTAGATCCATATCTGGTACCTTCTGTGCAGACAGAAGGCGAAAGATATTTCTTTGAACCTGTAGAACTGATTGGTACACACGGAAAGTATGAATCACTGGTGTTTGAAAACTTGCTATTCTTGTTATCTGAAGATAACAGCTTGATGTTACCAAATGTAGACCTTTAATGGTTGACTCCAATTAAACAGACTTTAGCGTTAGACCTCTTACAGTGATGTTTGAATTCAAACTCCATTACTAAAAATCTCAATTACTACTTATTTGAATCATAATTACAATGTATGTTACGATAGCACCAACAGATGTTAGTGCGAAGTGACTGTCAACCGGAAAGAATCCCCATCCAGTCACCATTACTTGTTTTGGGTAATCATTGGCTACTACCAACACAGCACACAGTATTTCCAGATCCATATCTGGTACCTTCTGTGCAGACAGAAGAAGAAAGATATTTCGTTGAACCTGGAGAGCTGATTGGTGCACACGGAAAGTATGAACGGTCAGGGTCAAAAAACCTGCTATTCCACCAACTAGCAGATAACAGCTTGTTATTACCAAATACAAACTGTTTCTGATCAACTCCGTTTTCACCAGCTTTAGCACAAGAGCTCCTGTTACCTGAAAAAGAACTATTTTGAGTGGACAAAGGAAAAAAAAATTTAAAAATGCTTTGAGGAAAAGATATATCCACTGTCTCCAAAACGCTTAGGTAACCAAGATTTTATTCTCAGGAAATTTATTATTAGTTATTAAGTTCATCAACAGATGGCGATGTTGACTGTTGTCTGTCAAGCCATTCCAAGTGAAATGTTTACAAAGGCGTCTATTAATTTTGCCTTCAGATTGCACTATGTTGTTACTGCGAAGGATAGCTCATTTAAAAACCTTTTTTTAAGTTTTATTTAGGGAACAGTAGCATTTGTTAGTAAACATTTGTTAGTTAATTTCGAACTCTGATGTGAATCATAAGCAGAATACCAAACATTCCTATTGCATTACATTTTCTTTAATTGGTTTTTCAAATTGTTGGTCTTCCTTTCAAAGAACCAGTAATAAATATAAAAACAATTGTTTGTCAAAACTGGAGCATACGCAGTATTTCCCCCTTTTTGTATCTCACGAACAATGCAATTATTACAATATGAGCTGTAAAGACGGTAGTTGCAGTGTTCGACACCCATTTAAACTCTTAAAATTTTTACCGAATCTTAAGAAAATAGAAGTAAATATTCATCTCTATTTACATGTGAGTGATTTAGGCTAGGTGGCCACAATCTGAAAAATTTTAAAAATTCTAATGAATATATCATGAAGTAGTTAGAAATTTTAAAAGCTTTAATTTCATTTTAATGTTAAGGCATATGTTGATCTGTTTTAACGTATACATTTAATTTACTAATATTTTTAGTACGCATGAATAAATTTAAAAAAAGTTATATCCTTTAACTTTTTCCACCATTTCTTCGATATTTTTATTTAGAGGTGTTAATTTAAAATTACGTTTCATAATACACTGCTCAAAACAATTAAAGAATATTCTAAATCTTGTATAAAATAACGATATAAGCATTTTTTTTAAAAAAAATGCCTTTTTTCAACTTAATATAGGACAAAGCGGAAAAAAGGATCGACAATCAGTAAGAGGGTTGCTTCGATAGTGCGATGCCTCAACGAAGTCATTTAACCGAATGAGAAGCTTGGAGAGTTGTTGGCCGCTTAGAGGAGGGCCTAACACAAGCCAAAGTAGCAGAAGCCATTGGATTTTCACAAAGTGTGATTTGCAGGATCTGAAACCGTTTTTTTGGAGACTGGAAATGCAGGCCGAAGATCAGGGCAAGGGCATAGACGTGCAATGATGCCCAATGAAGACTATTATTTAACTCTTACGGCTCGGAGACACCGAAATGTGAATGCCACTCTTCATCAACAACACCTTCACTCTGCTACTGGCACGCTGTAGGACTGTATGCTCGTCGACCAATGGTGTGTGTCACGTAAACAGACAGCAAGGCACCGTCAAGCCCTCTGTAACTGGGCAACAGATCATGTGAACTGGAGGAGAAATGAATGGCGCGATATTATTTTCTCTGACGAGAACCGTTTTTCTGTTCATTCTGATAATAGGCACATTTTCATCTGGAGGTAGCGTGGCACTAGAAACGATCCTGCTTTTGTTCACGAAAGTGTAAGATTTGGCAGTGGGGGAGTGATGGCCTATGCTGGCATTTCCATCGATGGGTGCACCGATCTCCATAGCATTCAAAACGGAGCTCGGACCGGTCGCCGATATAAGGATGAGATCCTAAGACTTATTGCAGTCCCTTACGATGCAGCAATTGGAGATGACTTCATGTTAATGGACGACAATTACAGGCCATGTCGTGCTAACTTCGTGAATGATTTCATTTTGGAGGTAAGAATCATGTGAATGGATTGGCCAGCCTATTCACCGGGCATGAACCCAATCGAGCATGTTTAGGACATTCTAGGCAGACAAATTGTTGGACGCCTACCTCTCCCACAAACTCTCCAAGAACAGGAAAGGGCACTTCTTGAGGAGTGAGAAAGAATACCCCAGCCCTCATTCATAACCTCGTTGATTCGATGCCTCAAAGGTGTTCGACATTGCTGGCCGTCCTTTTTATCTCATATAGCCTACTACGTCTGTCGATAATGTATCAATCATTCAAAGAATTCTCCAGGTACAGGATCAATCCACAACCTCTATTTCCTTTAATTGTTTTGAGTAGTATATAACATGAGATTTCAAGAAATATACTTTTCAAAATTTATTTGTTCAAAATACTGAAATTGTACAAACCCATAGCAACATTAGAGCTAGATATTAATATTTCTCAATCACTTTTAAAAATTTATAAACATCTTATAACCACATGATTCTTTAGTCAGCGGTTCCCAATTGTCCCCAATTGTGGTACTTTAAAGAATCGACTTTCTTTTGGCGGAACCCCAGGATTTAATAAATAAATTTCGTTAGTAATTGCATACATATTTACGAAATGCAATTAATTATTTTGAAAATATGTACTAATCTAAATTTTATTAATTATTTAGTGAATAAAATTTTCTCATCACATCGTT